GGCTGACTGGGTGGAGCCCGAGCGCCGGTGGAGAACAGAGTGATGGAGCACATCCTTAACACCCTCCTGGAAGAGAATATCCCAGTTAACTCTTAACACCCCTGGAGAACGGGCATCTGCCACGGGGCTGGAATAAGACTGTACAGCTGGGGGAGCCGGTGAGCAGTGTTGATAGCACTGATGTTGAGTCCCTCATTACAGAAGCCGAGAAGCCCCTTCAGCAACGTCACCCAGGAGAGTGATGGGGTTAGGTGGAGGGATGGAGAGGGGTGGGGCGGGGGGCCGGGGGGGAGAACAGGAAAGCAGGGGAAAAGAAGGCAAATGGGGCAGAGAGAGGGAGGCTGTTAGAGGGAAAATGTGATTAGAAGGACTGAGGAGGGAAGAGAAGAAAATCAGCAGAGAGAAGTGCAGCATTAGAACTGAAAGGATAATTACTTGTCTCTAGTTACAGCATGAAATAACTGCACGCTGTTCCATGGTAGAGAGATTGATCAGCGGCCAATCGATCACGGCCTACGAGGAACGCTAAGTTCCAGGGAGAAAAACTGTGTTGGCTTTGCAGTTTGCATGTACGAGACTAAATAACGCTCGTGAAAACTGCCTCCAGTGGCGAGGTTAAGTAGTCAGGGTGCCTAAAATCCAATACGACCAATGAGGCTTGAGAAGCATTAGCCGCACAGACGCATCCTGTCTCTTGACTCTACGTAATATATATTTATATATGTGGGTTCTAACACAGACAAAGAATAAGAAAAAAAAACACATGTTGTTTCTGTCTCAAACACTGATGTGCACTCCCAACCACTAGGTGGTGATAATGCACTAGCATGAATTTACAGCTAACATGTTTGTTTATTAACTTTGAGGCGTTCCATTTTGTTTAGCTTATTGGGCAGAACAGCAGCTAAGATACTGTAACAGAACGGTTTTAAACACTCACTAACGTTAGCTACAACAGTCCTGGTACAGAGGCAAGAGCGACCGGTAGCTACAACAGTCCTGGTACAGAGGCAAGAGCGACCGGTAGCTACAACAGTCCTGGTACAGACACCAGAGCTAACATTAGCTACAACAGTCCTGGTACAGAGGCAAGAGCGACCGGTAGCTACAACAGTCCTGGTACAGAGGCAAGAGCGACCGGTAGCTACAACAGTCCTGGTACAGAGGCAAGAGCGACCGGTAGCTACAACAGTCCTGGTACAGAGGCAAGAGCGACCGGTAGCTACAACAGTCCTGGTACAGAGGCAAGAGCGACCGGTAGCTACAACAGTCCTGGTACAGAGGCAAGAGCGACCGGTAGCTACAACAGTCCTGGTACAGACACCAGAACGTTAGCTCTGTGCTTTGATACAAATACCATTCATTGAGACGAGTTAATTACAAATTAATAACATGTTTTTTAACGCTGTCCCACCACTGCACACAGGTCACACAGGTCAGGTCAGATTTGCTCAGAATCCCAACAAGAGTTCTGGGATATCGGAGCCGGAGACATCTTCCCATCAAAGTGATTCTCTCCAGACCCGGTTTTAGCATTCACAGCATTCACAGCAGCTTTCACTCTCCAGTTGCTCTCATGGAGTATGAAACTCTAAATCCACCTCTAAGGTCTGCTAAGCTGTTCTTCCACTTCCTCCAAACAGATCAGGTATAATTGGATCAGCAAACAGTGAGTTATGGAGATGGCGCTGTAACGCAGGTGTCCACTGACTTTAGCCTTTCTGACGGCTACGTTGATCTTTAATTGAGTTATCTTATTAAATCCAACCTATTTTTTTTTTACTACCACATTGTCATTAACAGCCGTTCTACACAGAGCAGGTTGAAGACTGATACTGCGAGTATTTCAGAGTACTTGAATGAAGTATCGATACCAGAACCTGTATCGTTAGAAAGTTGTTTTGACGCAAATTTCGAAGGCTAACGACTTGAGATGACGCCCAGCGTTGTCATGGTGAAAACTCAAGTACACACTGTAGAAGAAATTTGATTCAGAAATTCAGTTTTCGTGAAGTATTTCAATATTATATTTACACAGTTTTTTTTCCACTAATTCTCCCGATATGTTACTTCTACGACTTTTGCGACTTACGCTGTACTTTTTCTAAAGTAAAAACGTTTTCTTCCCATTCACGCCTTGAAAATAAAAATAAAAAACCCCGCACTTTTTAAGTTTAATTTCCTTTGCACAGTCCGTTTGAACAGAAGTGTTTGACACAACAGCGTAACATTCTCCTGACACAGGAATAAAACACAGACACACCAAAGACCCCGGACCCTGGGTCGAGTCGCCGGTTTAAAAAAAGTTACTTGGAATTTTTGGCGTTTGTTTCCTTTCACCTGGGATGAAGTGCGAGGCGAGTCTTTTCCGACTGCAGGATCTTTCCCCTCCACATCTATTATCTCTCCTTTGTAGCTCATAATGATAAAAAAGAATCACAGTAAAACACTGTGACATTTCAAATCTCTGCATTGAGCCGGTTGTCAAGGAGATATCTCGGTGAGATGAGTCGAGCAGAAACGGAACCGCTCCTTTAAAACGGCATTTATCCAGCTGC